TTTAAATTTTGAAATTCTTATATTTTTCAATTTATGTCTCTTATTATTTTTTTTAATTTAATATTAATTAAAATATTTTTTACTAGTATTGACCCATTTTAATATGGGTAACACATATAAGTATGACTTAACTCATCTTGATCTAACCATTTTTACATGGTTCAAGCAAACTCAACACGTTATAACCATACTCATACCATTCTAATTAGGGATGACAATTAAACTCATATCAGTGGAGATTGATCAATTCCCACCTCGAGTTTGACAGAGAAAAATCTAGTTGATCAAAGACGGATAGTGGGACGAGTTCAAATTTTCTCTGCTTTAAAAAGTCGGGGTAGGGATGGGTAATGCAATTTCCACATTGATCTTGTCTCCACTCGATCTTATATTTAAATTTAAATTCTAAAATATTAATATTTAAAAAATATTTTTTTCTTTCTCACATTATATATAAAATCATTTTTTTATATTTCACCATTTTTACTTTTCTTTCACTCCCTTTTCATTCTTTTATCTTTTTTAATCTTTTAGAAAAATTAATTCATTATATTATTATTTTTTCTCTTACCTTATGTTTATTCAGATTTCCTTAATCTCTTCAACTAATTTGTTTTTTTTTAATCTCTTCAACCAATTTGATGAGTACAAAGTTAATTTTTATTCTCCTTTATTTATTTTTAAATATTCTATGTCAATCTTATAAATAGCTAATATTATATTATTTTAATTTATTTTTATTAAGTTTTATTACGTCATGTTTTTTTAATTTTATTATTTTTATTTATCATATATCAAATTTTATCTTAATAAAATAATTGTATTTTAAAGAACTAAAAAAATTGATAATTAAAACTTGTATTACTTAGAACTAATTATATAATAATTAACTTATTAAATATTTTTTTATAAACTATATATTTCATATTTTTAAATGACAACTTAAAAAATAATAAACTAATATATGTAATAAATATTTGAATATAGTATTATAATATGTAATAGTAATAATAATAATAATAAGTATTTTATATTCTATAAAGAAAAAAATATTAAATTTTCTTTTACATAATATTTTAATATAAATATAATAAAATAAAGTATATATTAATTATTAATAATAATTAAAAATTTATAAATATTTATTTATGTATAAAAAAAATATTAAATTAGTTTATTATGAGTATAATTATTTTTTAGAAATAATATAAATTGGGAACTCGTCGAGAATAGAGAAACTTGAAACTCAACAAGGATGAGAATGAAAATTTAATTAATTTTTAACTCGACAAGGATCGGGACGGAAACGGTTAAAGGGGACGAGTGGTCAAGGAAGCAAAACACTTCTCCTCCCCATCCCGTCCCATTAGCATGCCTAATCCGGACCCACCCATTTTTAATTTGGTTCATCTTGTATTGGTCTAATCTAATATATTTCTACTTAATTTCACTCATTTTTACCTGACCTATCGTACAATAATTCAACTCTTCTTGATCAGATTTGATCCAACTACTCAAAGTAGATTTAGTCTACCTCAACATAACATATCGCAGTTTGACTCATTTTTGCACTTTACAAGTCATATTGATTTAATCCCTCTTAATTCGGATAGATTTTATCTTGACGAGATTCGATCTATCTCATTTGTATTATATGTTATAGTTAATTACGATCCAACTTAGTTCATCTTAACCCAACTTTACCCGACACGACTTCTTGATTCATCTTACTCCAACTTGACTTATTTTCTAGACTCAGTATAATTTGTCTTTACCAATACGCTTATCATTCCAGTCTATTCCAATTTAGTTTAACTTTATCTAATCCATTATGATTTGTTTCAATACAATGGATTAACTATAAAAATATTGTAAATTAGATATAATTAAGAAATTGAATAATAATTATTTTTAAAATTGATAATAATTAAAATAGTATATAAATACAATTAAAATTTAATAATTTAAATTATCTTATCTAAATAAATAATTTTAAATTTTAAATTATTTAAAATATATAAAAATTTTAATATATTACATTTTTAAAATTTTAAAAATACCTTATTTCAACATGACCATGTACAAAATTGAAATATCTGTAAATATCTTAAAATTAAGTAGCTGTTGTTACTTGGCCCCAGTGAATTTTGAAAGTTATTGATTTTTACATAGTTGGAAGCATATGCATGAAAGTACAGGTTGGAATTGTAACTAATAATAAGAGTAAGAGTAGTGATATGCTAATAATTGAGTGTGAAGTATCTATAATTCATTTTATTATATATAATAATAATAATAATATTTATTATATTAATAAAATATATTGTTAATTAAGTATTTATTTCATAACCAGTGAACATATTCGTAGTAAAAATATAAATGATATCCTGACATAAGGATAGCATAAAGTAGTTTTTATGTAAAACATTACAACAAATTGAAGATAAGAGAATGTATATCGTATAGAAAAGATAATAAAACCTGACCTAAAGGGAAAAATATATATATATATATATATATATATATATATATATATATAATTTTACCATTAGATTATTTTTATACTGTAATGAATATATTTTAATTATACTTTTTTTAATTAATGTATTCAGAAAACTGTTGCATTATCATCCACACAAATGAAATCACAAGGATTATTAAATTAAAAGACAAGTATATTTTAAAACTAAATTAGTTGAAAGCTTGTAATATTAAAGTCTCAATGAAAATTAAATTATATGAAAGGACGATAATATTAATACTGTAATACTATAATGATGAAACATAATTTTGTAATTCCCACATAAAATTATCCAACGAAACTGGATTTACCTGTCTTATCTTATACATCACTTAAAAATTTATTTCAGTCTAATCTATATTTATATATACTTAATATTTTTAAGTCTAATATGATTTTACATCAAATTTATTTAACTAATGAGTTATTTTGACTTATTAAAAAATAAAATAAAAAGTGAAAACATATTTTTAAAATTGAAATTACATTAATAAAAAGTTAATTTTAATTATAGATATAATAATTATATATATATATATATATTCATAAAATTATTTTATCTATTATATTTTAAAAAAATATTATTATTTTATAAAACAATTATATATATTAACTCAATTTAAATTTATTTAAATTACATTTTTTTATTTAGTTAAAAATCATCTAATTTAATTTGTTTTTAATTACCGTACTTATACGTTATAATGTTTTTGTGTTTGCTTTTAGGGTAGCACTAAAGCCAAGGAAATGAAGAGACCAATTTTGTTTGAATCTATTCATTTGCGCAGAAACACACTAGATGAAGGCGTAGAATGAGCAAACAATATTTTCATTTTTAAAAGAAAAAAAGTTTATTTTATCCTTTGAAATTTTATCAACGTTTTTTTTATTATAATTCTTTTTATTTTATCATTCATAACCACTTTTTTTATATAACCAAATATAATAAATATGGATTAAGAAATTTTTAATGTAAACTTTTAATAATTAATTCGAATGCAATTTATGATAAATTATTAATGTTTTTTCTATTTTGTTATTCATAATATTTTTTATATAACCAATATAATAAATATTGATTAAAAAATTTAATAAAAAAATTTCAATAATTAATTAGAATGTGATTGATATAATATATATATATATATATATATATATATATATATATTATATGAATAACTTTTAAAATATAAGATAGAAATAATTGATGATATTTAATAATAAATCACTTAAAAATTAATTAAAATTATAAATAAATAATAATATTTTTGGGACATTTATAAGTTTCACGTCATTAATCTAAAAATAATTTAAATATATTTTTTTCTCTCAATCTATCAATATATTTTTTTAAAAATAAAATTATAATAAATAAGAATTTCAAATCTCAGGTCTAAAAATTCACTTTAACACTATTTTATTTTATGAGATATATTTTTATTTAAAATTATAATAATGATAATAATTTTATTAAACATAATAAATTGATCATCTTAAAAAAAATATTAAAATATTTTATTTTTATCATTACACATCAAATCACTCACAAATAAAAATAATTTAAAAATCTTAAAAAAAATTATTAAAATATTTTATTTTTGTGATTTATATCAATCTAATCACTCACAACTTTTAATAAACTTAGTGTTATTTTTTCCTTAATCCAAATAATTTTATTTTTATTCTTTTTAATTTTCTTATAAATATATTGTTTACCATTCCTTCGAATCCATAAACAATTACAAGATGAATATTATCTGAAAAATCGAAATACTTAAAAAAAATATATATATATATATATATATATATATATATATATATATATATATATATATATATGGTTAAGAAATTACATGTGATCTTACGTCATATGGATTAAGGGTGTTTGCTTTGGGATCGGTGATACATGAACACCTGCTTTTTCACGACACATCCATTCCACGTTTCAATTTAATAATATAATACTAATAAAGGTAATGATATTTCCACATCCAATATTTTCATTCTATAACTATAAATAATAATAAAATAATAAATAATAATATTATAATAAAATAAATAAGAGTTGTCAAGATAAAATTTATTTATGGATAATTATTAAAATTTTATTTTTATTATTATTATTATTATTATAATATTAAAATGGGTTACTTTCCGAATATTTGATAAAAGAAAGTTGTAAAAATAACATTTTCATCCCTAAAAAAATGAGTGCCAACTATTGTTTCTTTTGGGCTACGAATTTGTTTTGAAAATGAAGACTTTGTAAGGCGGCGTGTGTTCAAAAGGTTGAGAGGGAGAGAGACAGTGAATGTCAGCATCGGAGAACGCGAACTGAACACGGCAAACGTCAATATAAATGTCAAACTCATCTCTCTTTCTTCAAATCTAATGTTATGAATCTGTCACTATTACTACTTCATCTTCTTCTCTCGTTCTCGTCCGCCTTCATTCTTCTTTTCCCATTCCTACATCAAACATGGGTGTCTGTTTCACTTCCCTCGCTCGCCACCAATCACCCCACTCTACATCCCCTCATTTAGGTTCTCAAATTTACTTCTTCCCACTATATCAAATCCATATATTTTTTCAAAATAGAAACAAAAAGCATGATTAATTTGATGTATCTGATGGCATGCAGGTTCAGCAACAGTATCCTTGGAGACCGAGGAAGGAAAGCATGAAGCTTCAGAGTTGTCAGAGGTTGGTGAAAGCACTTGTAATAGTAACAGCAATAGCATTGTTTTTCCGAGTGTGGAAATGAGGACCTTGAAGGAGTTTAATTTCGCGGAGCTGAAAGCAGCAACCAAGAGTTTCAAGTCTGATGCATTGCTTGGAGAAGGAGGTTTCGGGAAGGATGGTTGGATGAGAAAACTTTGAGACCAACCAAACCTGGTTCTGGAATCATGGTAGCTATCAAAAAGTTGAATCCCGAAAGTATGCAGGGCCTTCAAGAGTGGCAGGTTAGCTTCGTTTCCACTCACTTCCAACTTTTCCATTCTCTCATTCATCATTGCCTTTTCATTTATTAAATATATCTTAATCAAAGTTCAGGATGATTTTTTTTCGAACAAATCTCAGAAAATTATCTGCAACATCAGTTTCTATAAAGCGGTTTAAATGGTCTTGTTTATAAGATTTAATGCATCCAAATACATCGATCACAGAAGAGGGTATAAGCAAAATAGCTTGACAGAAAAATTGTGAGGAATCTAGTTTGGTTTGACCATGAAAAAACTTGATTGTGGTCTTGACGTGAATGAAGGGCTCATATTATCATATCCTTTTCCGTAGAAAACGAGGACCACTAGACGAGGTTGACGTTGGAATCCTTCACTCTCATTGTCTACTGATACCGACACCAAACCCAAAATGTACTTCACTTTCAACTAGTGCTTCAACTTGTAGTTTTAGTTATTTAAAATAGTGAATAATTTATAACATTTAGATAGCTAGGATGGACCATACTTTGAATCTTTAGTGATTTTGTTTTATAATAATAATAATTTATATGTTAAATTATATTATATTTAAATTAACATGAGTTTTATTAGTTTTTTAAATATACTATTTTTATATAAATATATTATATAATAAGTCGAGTCATATTCCGTTTTGACCATCATAATTATTTATTTTAAAAAAAGTTCTGAAACATTTTAAAAAATAAGTCATTATTTATTTTAAATGAGTTGAGTGAAACGTTTGCACGTTAATTAATTAAAAAATGTGGTACATTTTGCAAAAATCCAACCCCGATGTCTGATTTTGTAACATCTTGCTGTGGTTATTGTATGAGAATGCAGTCGGAAATCAACTTTTTAGGAACAGTTTCTCACCCAAACTTGGTCAAGCTTTTGGGTTACTGTTGTGAGGATATGGAATTTCTCCTAGTGTACGAATTCATGCCGAAGGGAAGCTTGGAGAATCATCTATTTTGGAGTATGGACTTTAGACAATTAAACTGTGTTAATATTAATACAATTTTGTTGGTCATGGATTTTATTTGAGTTTATCTCTTTGTTAGTAGGAAATAATAATAACACACAAGCATTGTCTTGGGACACTCGACTCAAAATAGCCATTGGTGCAGCTCGGGGCTTGGCTTACTTGCACACTTCAGAGAAGCAAATCATATACAGAGATTTCAAAGCCTCCAATATTCTACTTGACGAGGTTCGTTATTTTGACCTACCACTATTTCTCATCTTCTACCTTTTTCCTTTACATGAGAAATGTAACCCAAAACAAATTATATCTAACGATTGTTTTTGCTAGCAAAGTGGTTAGGTCCGGTTTTTCTAAAATATTCCAAGGATAGATGGTCAATTCGTTTTGATTCAATTTGTCTATATTGTTAAATGGGTGGGTCATGTGGGATGAAACCACTATCTCAATTTAAAAAAATATTTATATATTAAAATTAAAATAATAAAAAAATTATAATTAAAAAAATTATATTTTTATGTATTATGTTATTAAAATCTATAAATATATTATCTTATTATAATCTGAATTATAATATTAACTATTTAAATTTAAATTATTATTATAATTGAATATTTTAAATATAAATATAATATATTTTTTAATTTATTTAATAAAAATATTAATTAATCAATAAAATATAAAAATTATTTGTATAATTAAAGATATATTTCAAAAAAATGATATAAAAAATATATATTGACTGAGTCATTAATCCATTAACCCATTTATTGGTAGGAGAAATTAAGATTTATAATTCATTTTAAGGACTAGTCATATTATTTTAATTGGATTAGAGGGGTGATGAAACAAAATGGGAAGAATAGACCGTTTCGCGAGCTCTAATTTTTGCTTTCTGTTAGATAAAATTACGTTATAGATGATGTAAAATTGACTAGAGACCGCATATCAAGAGCGATCAACTTTTCTTATATTCATTCATTCATTTTATGTTTGTATTTCTTTTTATCTACTAAGATACAATTCTCTACATCCTTAATGCAAACTTTTTGTTATGTGCATAGGAAAAATCTATTTCTAATGAAAAATACAAAAAAATATCAAAATTACATCTATGTTTTGTTCTTCTTTATAATTTATAATAGTTAATTTAATTAACGAGATTAGATTTATCCACAATTTATATTATTTTTTACAATTACCCTTAGAATTAACTAATATATCTACTTCACTTTTGACTGGTAATTAATCTTCTGCTATCCTTGTGATAAAGATAGTCTAAAGTTTCTCAGTCATTGTTCATTGATATATCAAAAATTAAAGTAATTGATGGATATTTTGTTAATACAATAATTTGAAACAAAAGTTATAAAAAGATTAAGGCTACGTTCTCTACTAATTAAGGTCTGTCTTTGCAGGAGTACAACGCAAAAATATCAGATTTTGGTTTGGCCAAATTAGGCCCTTCTGCGGGAGATTCACACGTGACTACCAGGATCATAGGAACATATGGTTATGCTGCTCCAGAATACATTGCAACAGGTGATTATATATGTTTTGTAAACAAAAAAAGTTGATGCTTGTTGAAAGATATACAATAAGCAGTTTGATTTGATGTTATTGTTTATAACATGACCGTGTGTTGGATGGATTTATGGTTGAACAGGCCACCTTTATGTGAAAAGTGATGTTTATGGATTTGGTGTTGTGCTGCTTGAAATGCTGAAAGGGATGCGGGCACTTGATACAAACCGCCCTCCAGGGCACCAGAATCTGGTTGAATGGATTAAGCCTTTTCTCTCTGATAAAACCAAGTTGAAAAGTGATATCATGGATGAGAGGATTGAGGGTCAGTATTCAACCATGGCAGCACTGAAAGCAGCACAGCTTACTCTAAAATGCCTTGAATCTGACCCTAAGAAACGTCCTTCTATGAAAGAAGTTCTTGACACATTGGAAACCATCCAAACAATCAATGTTAGAAGGAGGGAAAAAAAGAAACATATTTCCAAGTTTGCAACTACGAACAGTTTCCAATAGCCAATTTTTCATATCTTCTGCATGTGATAAGCTTGGTAACATTCTGTGAATGTATCTAGACACTTAGGTTGACATGTAAGATGATAGAGCAGATAATAGTTGTATTTTCAAAGTTATTTTGTTATTTGCAGGGGGAATTATGATAGAGCTTTGTCAGCTCTGTACTTCTTTTCTTCTTATTATGATTGAATCAGTCACATTAAGGGGGAAATATTCTGTATTCTGCAAGTTTGGTTTTTAGATGCTTGTATAAAGAGTTATCGAATCTCTTCATGACCATATATTAGGGAAAACTAGTTAAGAATATGTTGCTCTTTTTTCAGTTTATATTTTACGTTTTTTAGATGATGGTACACTCAAAGTAAAAAAAAAATCAAAGTTGATCTGTCAATAATATACTTAATTATTAGATTAGAAAGCATCTTAATTTTTGTGATTGAACTCTCAAATATTTTTTTCATTTTAAGAAGAATTCTCACTTTTTGTGTCCTTTTATGAATGTACTATATCACTTGAGAATTGTGAGAAATAAAATAAAAAATATTATATCATATATAAATGAAGAAAATTAAAATGGTCACATGAATACTTTTAAATAAGAAAAAAATATTTTTTGATAACCCATTTTTACAAATATCATATTGATAATCTTAAAATATTAATTTGTGGGTTGCTTGATAGAGAGAGAAATAAAATAGATAAATAATAATATAAAAATTTAAAAGTGAGTTATTAAATGAATGTTTTTATTTTTTTTATGTCAAAATATCATAGCTCTTTAAATAATTATTAACTAGCTTTTAATAATGATGATGTTAACCCAAGAAAAAAACTTAGCCCACACACAGGCTTACCAGAAAATGAAAAAAAATATATATATATATTTTGTCGTAATAATTCTATATTCTTTCTCATGTCTCTATCCTTTATTTCTTCCCAAATGTTTCTGAAGATTAGGTAGGTACATGACCATTTTAAAATTGGGACCGTATGAAAAGGTTCTATCTTGAAAATTTGTGGTTAATGTGTTTTTTGTTTTGGTCCAGTAGTCAATCAGATAAGTTTCTTAAAAAAAAAAAAAGGTTTTACCTTTTTATTTCCCTCTTTGGAAGCATGCATGCATGCAAAGTTAATTGAGACATTTTCTATAAATAACAATCCAAAGGTTACTCTGTCACATGGACACGCGTACATGCATTCTTTTCTATTCAAATTTAAAATAAAATATTATTGTAGATAATGTAATGTTATAAGAATAAAATATATTAGTTTAATATAAATTCTAAAGATAATAATTAAAAAAAATAATGTGAGACTGATCATATTAAAATAATATAATTTATTTTTAAAAACTCCGTCTTCACAATATATATTTTTAAGAATTAAAAATTAAGTAGTTCAATTATAGTTTTATTATTACTATTATTATTATTATATGTTTATACAGTTAATTTAAAAATAAGAAAAACATATCTTCATAATCCCATTAAAAAAACCATCTAACAACTTTTGTCATTAATATAATAATAATAATAATAATAATAATAATAATAATAATAATAAAGTTTAAAATTTTTATGTTTATTTATGATTATTATTATTATTATTATTATATATAATGATAATTATACATTAAATATACTATCACTGCATAGCGTAACATAAAAAAATTATTATGTAATGAACATGTAGAACTAAAACACTACTAAAGTTGAACTTAGAGAACACCTTTTTTGACTTGTCTGGAATGGACAAAACTTAGTAGTTGTTTGTGTTTTATTACCAATTATGACATGCCACGTGATTATATTTGTGGGTTAAATTCAAATTGAAATCCTATTTATTATATAATTGGGTAGATGCATAATAAGTAGTTAAATAGTGTGTCCAAATAGGTGGACATATTTACAGTTCTCGTTTTCCGATTGCTTTTGAAGCGCAGACTATTGTAAGCAAAAACGAGGATGTCAAAAGGGAGTGGGAGTCAAGTGGCACGCGATGCTCACACGGAAAACCACATTATAAATATCCATCCATCCATTCATTTCTCGTTCCTTGTTCCCATCTTCTACACCGCACACCCATTACTTCTTCCTTGGTTTTTCAATTAACTCATTCTCCATTTAATTAACACTAACCATGGGTCTCTGCTTTGCTTCTCTCTCTCCCCACCAAACTCCCTCTGAATCTCTTCACTATTCTGGCAAGTCACCAACTGCTTCATTTTCCCAAATTCATATCAAGAGTAAGAGCATTTGTGATTTGAAAGTAATTTGATGGCATGCAGGTTCAGGGCGAGAAGGCACTGGCGTTAATGGAGGAAGCAGTAGCAGTGGCAGTAGCAATAACGTTGTGTTTCCGAGTATGGAAACGAGGAACCTGAAGCAGTTCAGTTTTGTGGATCTGAAAGCAGCAACCAGGAGTTTCAGGTCTGATGCATTGCTTGGAGAAGGGGGTTTTGGGAAAGTTTACAAAGGATGGCTGCACGAGAAGACTCTAACACCCACCAAAGCTGGATCTGGAATGGTGGTTGCTGTTAAGAAATTGAATTCCGAGAGTTTGCAGGGATTTCGGGAGTGGCAGGTTAGTTTAATTTCCACTCGGATTATTCTTTAAACTATTCATTCCCATGTGCTGTGTTGTGTTCTTCTTGCTTTTTAATTTGTAAATTGCAGACTATGTTGCATGTTGATTAATATAATTGGGATTGGGGCAATGGAGTCAACCTATTCAGTGATGTTTTATTGTTGAGGTATACATGTCTTCTTATTCCATGGTTCATCAGTAATGTTTGACAGCAAAAAAATAATATAAAGTCTTCATCAGTGAGGTCACCTCTGGTTCAACAAGATAATTTTTTTAATGAGTCTCACCGTGGTTTATTATTCAGCTTTTTATAACTTGACCAACTCACGTTTCTACTCTAATAATTTTAAAAGCTTATTCAAGAATCTCTTATATTTTATCGAAAATGTTATTTAAAACACAAAAGAGAACAACCTAAAACATGGACCACAAAAAATGTTATAAAGAACCACCTCTAATCTTGGGTTCTTAATAAGAAAATACAAGAAAACAGTACTTACTGTACGTTTGATTGGATATTTTTTAAATACTCACTTATTTTCAAAAGCTTTTTATTGTGTTTGACAAAAGTAAGCAATTATTTTTTACAAATATAAATTAAGTTTACACAAATTCCATTCCAACTCAGCTATCTGATTTTGTAATATCTTGCTCTGTTTTTTATGACAATGCAGTCAGAAATAAATTTTTTAGGAAGGATTTCTCACCCAAACCTGGTCAAGCTTTTGGGTTACTGTTGTGACGATGTGGAATTTCTGCTTGTGTACGAGTTCATGCCAAGGGGAAGCTTGGAGAACCATCTCTTTAGAAGTATGAGCTTAAGACAACTAAAATTGTTGGTCATGGATTTGATTTGAGTTTAGCTTATTTTGTTTGAATTTCTGTTTCCAATTAGGAAATTCTAGCACAGAACCATTGTCTTGGGACACCCGACTCAAAATAGCTATTGGTGCAGCTCGAGGCTTGGCTTTCTTACACACCTCAGAAAAGAAAATCATATACAGAGATTTCAAAGCCTCCAATATACTACTTGATGAGGTTTGTTATTTTTCCCTATTTCATCTCTTTGTAATTTGTCTTCTATATTCTGCCTTTTTTATATTAACATGAGAAATGGAAGCCAAAATGAATTGCTTGTAACTTCTGGTTTGAATGAGTGACTAGTTTATGAATTTGGAACCAGTTTGTTTTATAAACCAAACATTGCTACAGTGTCAGCTTTAAAAAATGCAAATTAGAGTAAGTACTGATATTCTATATAAAGAATTAATATCCACAAATCTCACTGGTAACCAAATGTATGTCTTTGCAGGATTACAATGCAAAAATTTCAGATTTTGGCTTGGCCAAATTAGGCCCTTCTGGGGGAGATTCACACGTGAGTACCAGGATCATGGGCACATATGGCTACGCTGCTCCAGAATATATGGCAACAGGTGATCGTCATATCTACACACATAGCTAAATGGTTGCTTTGTGAAGAAAACTACATAACGAAACATAAGAAACAGTTTGGTCCTATTGTTTCTAACATGGCTGCGGATTGTATTGTGCTTCAACAGGTCATTTGTATGTGAAGAGTGATGTTTATGGTTTTGGTGTAGTTCTGCTTGAAATTCTGACAGGGTTGCGGGCATTTGATAGAAAGCGCCCCTTCGAGCAGCAGAATCTAATTGAATGGGCTAAGCCTTCTCTCTCTGATAAAAGAATGTTGAAAAGCATAATGGATGAGAGAATGGAGGGTCAGTATTCAACCAATGCAGCAATGAAAGCAGCACGTTTAACTCTAAAATGCCTTGAAAGCGACCCTAAAAAACGTCCTCCCATGAGAGATGTTCTGGAGACATTGGAACGGATCGAAGTTATCAAGGATAGAAGGAAATAATCCAAGAAACATTGCACTCAGCTTGCAACTATGCTCAATCATCACCCTTCTGTTTAACACTTTATTCTTGGCAACATATTGTCAAGGTCTGAAACAATAGACCACTAGAACTTGGGTTGAATATGACATAGATGTTGCATCAACATGTAGTTGGATTCAAATTCCTTGGTGATTAACTTGGTTTACAGTTAGTGTAGGTAGAAAATCTGTTGCTGCAGTAGATGTACCTCTCATTGTAGCTTTGTCCCCTGATCTATAAATATATGTAGTTCCTACTTGTATCATCATCATCAATTCATTTAAATCTAGAAAATGAAGTACTTGAATTCCTCTCTTGTTCTTTGACATATATGATCTTTCTGATCACTTGTCTTTTTTTTTTAACTTATTTTGTTATTGGGGAAATTTCAGTAAAAGTTTAATAATACTATGCACTCACAAACTTCTAACCTATCACAAATCTCTCTTATCATGAATTTTAAAGTTGTTGTGGAAAAGGTTTATAAATTTAGCATACATAATAGTTATTTATGATTCATAGACTGTAAAACTACAAAAATTTGAATTTATTTGGATCATCGATTTTATTTGAATCTTCAAATTACAAATCCAATAATATCAGTTTGGATGTTGGATTTGGGCACGTGAAATCCAGACAAACTCGAACATATTTATTTTATAAAAGATTTTATTTTTTGTTGTCATATTATATAATTTATAATTTACAATCTCGACTGTTGAAACGATTCATCGATTGTAAAAGATTGTATTTATTTTAGTGTTAGTTGGGCTTTTAAACATGTAATTTCAACTTTGATTTCAATGTACTTTGATGAAAATTTTTGTTGGAGAGATTATGCTTATTTTAGTGACTTTTTTTTCTAAATAATTAATTTTAAAATATAGAAAAAGGCCCCCTTATTTTTAAAATACCACCTCATTTGTAAATACCCATTGGGCCAAGGCAGAGGTTGCAGATATTTTTAAAATAAAGAAAAAGATAAATATTCAAAATTCAATTTAAAACTTAAAATTATAATATTTTAGTGTAATGAGTAATTTTTTTCATGATTAATAGAGATAACATTGTATAGATTGGTCTAGTAGTTCATTTTGGTTTATCCTATCTAACCAGTCAATTTGACGAACTAAAAAGGATACATAGGTAAGCTTGATTGACGCACTATCTTATTTTTTAAAAATATTTATATATTAAAATTAAAATTATTATAATTAAAAATATTAATTTTTTGTTATATTCTTAAAATATATAAATATATTATAATATTATACTTTAAGTTATAAATATTAAGTAATTAAACTTAAGTTATTGATTATAATTAAATATTTTAATATATAAATATAGTAATTTTTTTAATAAAAATATTAATTAATAATTAATTTTAAAATTATTCATATAATTAATAATATATTTTAAAAATATTTATATAAAAGTTTAATATAAACAAATATATTAACAAATGAATTTGTTAGTTTGTGGATCCATTTTTTAGTGGAACAAGTCTGTAATATGTAGTTCAGTCCCGATTATGGTAAACGAGTTTATCCCATCAATTTTATTGTAGGTTATAGCCTAGATGAGTCAAAATGGGGTAAATTAATCCATTTTGTCATTTCTAATAATAGAGATGTTAATGCGAGGTTTAGCCTAATGGAATTGTCTTAAAAGGGTAGAAAAATATATTATGTTAAGTCAACAAAATTTTATGATTTATATTGAATCATATCTATTTTTGATCTGACTTATTTAAGTATGACTTATATGAGCTTAAGTCAGATTAGTCATGTATACTTATGGATCGACCTAATTTATAGAATAACAATTATTTTTAAATAAAAATATTATTATTTTATTAAAAAATATATATATAACAAATTAATTTAATAAGATATTCATTTATTTTAAAAATAAATATAAAAATAAATATCTAACAATCATTTATTTCCAAATTTAATAATTAAGATTAATTACTATTATAAATTATTAAAAAATAAATAATGATAATAAAAAATAAATTTTTTATTTTTATTTTAAGATTTAATGAATACCTTATCTTATAGTTTATATATTAAATTATTATATTTTAAATTAAAACTAATTTTATTAATAAATTTTAAATTTTTAAAATATTTGTTTATTTTTATTTAAATTTTTTCAATTAACTTATTTTGTATAGATATATTAATATATTTTTTAAAATTTCAATCAGACTAAAATTTCATTAATTTGTTTATCAGACTAAAATTATTTGTTTATTTTAAAATATAACTAAGATTAAATCATAAAATTTGTTTATTTGACCTATTATTATATTATATTTCACTTCCACGTGGGAAATATGTGCAATTGGTCATGGCACTGACCATATTCATCAATTCACTGCAAAATACATCAGTAAATATGAAACCATCAAGTAATAAATAATGGGCATGACCTTACACATGAAACTTCAAGATTATAAGGACGTTTATAAATATAAATCAAGACTCTCGGACAAATAACAAATAGAAAGAAAAAAAAACTGAGAATCTCATATATTGAAGATTTTGTTCTATACATAAATAAAGAAAATGTAATTTTTATAAACAGATAACCTTTTTTTTATCAAAATATCACAAACTTATGTTTTTGTTAAAAAAATATATATATAAAAGTTATTTTAACATGTGATATTTAATATTTTTCATTCATTAACAATTTCAAAATTTTCCATTTTCTATGAGGTGAGAATATTATTACAATGACGTGAATGTTGGTCATGCAACTTGAATTACACTACTCTTATAGAGCGTCATGTTTCACTTACCATTCAACTAATCACGTGTTGAAAACGCGTTGTACCTAAGTTCACTTTATTAATCATATGCTCTTAATTGCGCGAACAAAGGGAAAATCAAAATGAACCAAATCAAGTAATTTGACTCTTTCTACATTGTTTCTAGACACATGCACACTTGTGTCACAACCAAAAGCTATTCCATCATTCACACAAATTTTACGTTTGAGGAATAAGGAAAAAGATTGATGGTCACTTATTCTAAATACTTAAAAACCGAAAAAGGAGAAATGTAAATATCATACATAATATAACAAAATAATAAAACTAAATACTCTCTTATTCTTACTAGAAGACACATTTCACAAGAAATTTTTAGTATTTTTTTAATATTTTATAATTTTTATATAACTTTTTAAATTATTTTTCCTTGTTTATCCCTACGAGTATTTGTGATTTTATATTAATCAAGTTAGAACTTTAAAATCAATTACAATATAGTTTAATTTACTATATATTAGTAACATTTTTTTAATTTACAATTAACTCAATGTTTTATTATCTCTAATTATATTAGAAGAGTTTTATATTAATGACAAAAAGGAATAATAAACATTACTGAGTGCTTGATATAAATTAATGTTTGTAATTTTGGTTTTGTTTGCATTATTGATTCACGATTTTGTTGTTGTTTTCCCAGCAACTTTAGTCTTCACATGTTAAAAAATTTACAATAGTTTTAATTCTCATTTTTGCATGTAATTTATTTTTTTTAATTTTAGTGTAACATATGTTTTAAGACAGCATTAAAAAATAATTTAATTAGTTAAAATATAATTTTTTTAAAATAAACATAAAAAAATTACTAAAATTACGGATTTTAAAAAATGTGATGTCTTAGACCATAAAAAAAAAATAGAACAAAAATTACAAAAGAAGAACATATTTTAACTAAAAATGATCTAGAACAGTTATTATATAATCTAACATAACATCATCATCATGAGATTATGGAAGTAGAATCCTAATTCTACTAACTTATGACATGATGAAAATTTTCAGTTTATCATAAGTAATTACTAACACATGGCATCGTTTTCATTGATGATGCCATTCAAAGTGCAAAAACTAACATTTCACACTATATATACTACAAACTCGAGTCACGAACTTGCTAAGTTATCACCCTCTTTTGATATCAAAAACACACCTAAAAACGATGGCCTTCGGTTTTCAACACTATTTTCTTCCTATTTTCCTTTCAACTTTAGCCCTAATACCATTTGAGGGAACTTGTGGCTCCCATCGTAACCCTACTTCCAAATCCCTTCACTTCACCTTGTTCCAACACGAAACCACAAAGAAAACAGGATTTGTGATAGTAAATGGCGTGGAAGGAAGGGAAGGAAAGAGTGAAAGCTCAACCCCTTTTGGCACCCTTTTCGTGTTTCAGGACCCTTTGACTGCAGAAGCAAACAGATCCTCCAAACAACTTGGAACTGCAGAAGGAACTTCCATCACCTCTGGTCTTGATGGACTCAGCAGCATTTCTGTTGCAAAGCTAACTCTTCGGGTGAAGAATCACAAGGGCTCTATTTCCATTGTTGGAGGCACAAACACCCTCGAGCGTTCGGATTATCCTGTTGTAGGAGGCACAGAAGATTTCTTGCTTGTGCATGGCTATGTTACCTCTTCTCCACTTCATGTCAAGGGTTCCACTGTTGTCTACAAGATTGGCTTTCATCTTTACTGGCCTCCATATCCACCTCAAGCCTCTTAAAAAGTATATGAAATGACCAAATTTTTTGTTTTGTTGTTATTACTTTTTAACTGAATGACATGCTGTGTGATTCCTGTAACCAAGTGAGGGTGAGTTAAGGTTTGTTGATGTTGTTTCTTCTTTTTCTTTTCTTTTTTTTTTTCTGAAAATTTTCTTCTTGTTCTTCTCATTTTCCTGTGTGACTTTCTTGTAGTCATAATAACGTCCATGTTATGATTGTTCATTTCTGGGGGGCAGATTGACTTGGGAAAGTATTGATCATTGTTTTGTTTGACTGTTTCTGCTTTTATTTTTTGTATTATAATTTGAACTTCTTCCTAGTTCAATAATAATGCATTACAAAACTGCCATGGTGCATGCAGTTTCTGAAATAACGAGGTAATTTATCTTATTTCAAAACTACAATATTAATGGACAAAACTATTTAACATATTAAGAGCTAAAGTTCATAAATTTGCATCATTCTTAAAAAGATTTTACAAAAAGTAAATTTCATAATATATATTTCATATAATGTAAAAAATAATTGATATTTTTGACATGCTATTTATGATTACATCTATAAATATTTAAATTAAATGACGCAAAATTGAAGTCACTATAATTGATTTAATAAAGTAGACAACGGGGTGATTTTGCATTGATAGGTGATAGAAAGATTACCTTATTTTATGGTCAAGAGTCAAGACATGTTACAAGATTCATTGTATAAGAAACGTTTAATATTAGGTGATATGGAGATTAGGTTATTGTGAGGGTTAGGAGCCAAGACAAGTTGTTATAAGATTCATTTAGGGTTTATAATTAGCAACATTTTGTTCACCATGTTCCATCCTATCAATTTCACGAACTAGGTATAATATATACCAAATTTGAAAACAACTTCATATCAAAACTTTAAGGTCATGTTTGAGGTGCTGATAAGCTCTTTATTTATTTTAGAGTCTAATTTTTAAACAAAAACATGTTTTATTAAAACTGGATTTAATAATTTTCTTTACTCATTTTCAAAATTTTTATTCAAGACCATAATGTATTGGATAATTTTTTCTTAACTTTTTTATTTATTAGAAAAACTAAATAAAAATCATATTTTAGTATTTGTTTATAAAAATTCAATTTAATTCATCCATTAATTTTTTTCACGGATGGATATATATATCTAGTCCATTCATAAAAATAATATATTTTATAGAATAAATAAAATATAATTTTAAATTATATTTTTAAAACATTTTTCATAAATAAAATTTGTAAAACATTTTTGAAAAGGAAATTTAAGAAACATCTAGATTTTTATTATGAAAAATATATATATTAAATTAATTTTTATCCAGTGAGAATTAATTGGATTTTGAAAAATAATGAATCAATCCTTTACCATTCACGAAATAAAAAGGATGAATTTGTTTATTCACTCTTAACTTTTATCATGACATTCTCTCATTGTCATTCGTCTCATTTGCTTGACTATGACCAACGTCCCACCATCATATATGATTAATATTCAACTTTAGATAAGGCTATTGTAATGAGTATAATATATATGGTTAATGTAAAAATAATGCATTAGAAAATATCTTAATATGATTTTTAAAACAATACTAGAAGAACTAAATTGATGATTAAACTAAGAAAAATATATATATTATCCTAATAAATTTGTTAGAATATATTATTTTTAGCCTATTACATTAATTATTACTCATTACTCTCTCTATTCTTTATAATTGTCGATTTTATTTTTTAAAAATGTTTATTTTTAAATAGATATCATTTGTAAAGTTTAAAATTATATTAGTTTTTATTTTATCGAATATATTTTTTTAATAATATTTATTGAAGTAAGAAGATAGATAATTATTAAAAATAAATTTAGATAAAATATATTAAAAAGATAAGAATATTATTGAAAAATATTAATAAGTTTATTAAAAATAATCTAAATTAATATTTATCTTGTATAATCACAAAATATAATTTAATGACTCACTTGTTATGAAAAGAGAGATCCATATTAGAAAATAATATATACTAGGATTTCCCCCCCCCCCCCTTCTTTTATTCGCCTCCTTATTATATATTTTTTATATAACCTGAGTATTAATTGCACATTTTTTTATTCATAAATAAAAGAAAATGTAAAATGGTAAGAAAAAATAAATAAATAAATAAACAAAAGACTATTCATTATTTTTTTATTCTTTCACTTACACGTAACAAAATATAAAAAGTAAAAAATATATTTTTTTATTATTTTTTAATTGTTTTCTTTTTCTTTTTATCTTGTATTTTTTTTCCTTTTACTGTTTTGTCTGTATAATTTATAAGATAGAAAAAAATACACCAACAAATTCTTAATTTCTATTATTTTTCTCTACAATAGTTAATTATAATGTGATTTTGACACATTTTTTAATGAAATAACATGGTCATATTTTAGGGTAATCCTCAATTTTTTTTCATTTATTATAAATTCTTTCAATCATTTATTATGATTGAACTCCTCTCTTAATATTTTTGTGTTATTACAAAGTTTCTAAGACGGTGAGTTAAAAAAAAATGGAAGATTAAAATAATCATAAAAAAGTCAAGAAATTTATACATGAGATAAATGAAAAAAAAAATGAGGTAACAACTTAAACTAAAAAAAATGAAGTAACAAGACAGAAAAAAAAAAAGAATAAATGAATTAAAAGGTTAAATTTTTTTAAAATAAATTAAGCAAATATATACATCAACATTAGTTATTCTTCTTTTTAAACGTTGAAATAATATCTTTTGACTTTGACCATTTGGTTCCACTGTAGTTTCCTTTATCAATCCTATCGAAGCAACCATGGTCATGTGCAGCAACTTGAAGGATCCTTCTGGGTGGATATGGTACGTACAATCATAATGTTATTTTAGGGACTTTCCCCCTTTATATTTTATCAATAATTTATATTTTAGTTTTAGAGAACCCGGTCGAGTCGCATAGAATGTACGGCCTTGACTGACAAACATGCAATGACCTTGATTGCTGAAATAAAAATGTATAATTATAGCAGAAATTAAGAAATTGCTTAAAAGAATAGTAGAAAATTAAATCAGTGTGTTTCCTAAGAACCTTCAAATGTTTCCATAATCTTTTAAAGAAGACGCAAATACAAACTCAGATATACAGGGAGGGAGGATACGGTGCATAAGAAAACACCGTTAAAGTAGCAATCACTGAAATGGGACAACAATAGACTATGGTATGAATATATATGTGGAAGTTACAACGATTACAAATTAGCAAGAAAGAATAAATATAATAAGCTGCAAGAAAGAGCCTCATGTAAATATTGATCGTTAAATTGATCTAGATGTAGAACAAAGGCTTCTGCCGGCGATTCTTCCTGCATAAGTTGAACCTTCACATAAAAATTTCAATTGTTCAAACTGATCTGTATAGAAGTTATCACCGGGGATTGTGTAGGCGAGGTCTGTTGCAGAAAACACGGCCATTCGCCCTCACGAATGCTGCTATACCGACACTAATGCCCGCCCACATTAGCGAAAAGAAGAAGTGCCGAAAATCATATCGCACTGTGGAACAATGAATAACAGATTATTATGAAAAATGCTAAATAGTATGCAATTTTGATCAACGAAAATTGTATGCTACTACCCATCCATTTTTTTACACGAAGTTACATGTTTCATTCTGATATAATATATATGTTGTTATTGGGACTATTAGTACAGGACAATGGGATTCAAGTAGGGGTTTCTCATTTTTGCTGTATCAAATAATAAGTTTCTTTTACATTATTAACTAATTAATTATTAGCCTATTTTAAGGATTTCTTTGTACCTAAGTTACCCAGAGGTCATCCCTCCTATTTTCACATTCTTCTCTCCTTTATTCCACTTCTTTCTAATACCCCCATCTATTAGCCTTTAGGTATATTTATATCTTCAACCTAAACAAAATTCAACTCACCTTGTCGCAAGGACATGGTTGCAAAGACGAATCCAGTCAAAACCAGAGCGAAAGCCAGAGGAAATGACTGCAAAGATAAAATTAATATTAATATCAATTGGCATTTAATGCAGATGATTACCTTGAAGCATTTTATATTAATCAATTACATACCAGCAAAATTTCCAAAAAAGAAATAAAAAATCATTAGATTCAAATCCAGCAACATAATCGCTTAAGCATGTGATTGCTCATCAGAATATCAAAGGACGTTTTTAAGTAAATAAATAAAACATGAGTTACTTGTTTTCATGTATTTCGTTCCTATGGCCCATTGCAACCCACCACTTTCATGTAGTGTTAAGACCAACTATCTATAAGCCTTGAAACGAAAACGTGTCTAACCAAATACTGAATAAATAAAAGAAGAAAACATACAAGTACTTAGTAATTATCTTTTCCTTATGAGACATACACCATATCCATAAAAATTAGGGTTCAATTATTTTAAGTATAATCGGTATAAATTTAGCCATGCATTTTAGAAGTTAACATATATTTATAAATTGTGAACTTTCTAAAAGCTGTTTCTTAACCAAGTAGATGTCTCAAGCTTCATTCAGGAAAAGACTTCCATTTAAAATGAACTCACAGCTATAGCTTCAAGGCCTCCTTTCTGAGAAGTGGCAGCTGTATCTCGGCTGACAGAAACTATATAATGTCCTTGTAGGAGATCAATTGCATCCTTCACATGATAATAAGACATCAACAGCATAAATTAATTACTAATAGATCAATAAACTCTTTAAATTAACCTTTAAAAAGATTATTTTACACGAGATCTATTCAGCTGGTGTTAAAGCATATAGAACAAACTATATTAAGATTATGGTCTAAATTGAAATATGTACATGGCATGAACACTCAGTATCTCCAAAAGCATAATTACTAATCAGAGCAGAAAAAACTTTGAATTATGATACAGAAGGAAAATCAAATATACAAAGGACAAAAACCTAGATATGAAAATAATTTATGATCGATGGACAACCTAACCTAACCTAAAGATTATACACAATAGCTAGACTGCTAGAGTACACCATAAATAATGGTAAATTAGCTACACAAACCTGCTTTGTTCCATCACGAAAGTTATTGTAATAATAACGTAGAAGGGCATTGCAGCCATCTTGTACTATCCCTTGAACTGTGCGGTGCCCAAATCTGAATCCCAACACAAAATTTAATTAGGGAAGGCAAAGAGGTTAAACTCAAAATCATAACAGCAACATTTTTAAAACTAGATATGATGTCTCTTATCAATGCCAGTAAGTTTAAGCGTTGAAAGTAACATTTGCATAATTATGTTGGTTGTTATTACTAAGATTTTGTGATTCTAGTTGAATAGTTAATGAAAATTAAACAATATAGAAAAAGAGCAAAGACCAACATGGAAAAAATATTATGCACAAAAATTGCAGAATTCCCCACACGGCGAAATGAACCATGAAGCGATAAAACTAATTCCTACCGTATGATTAGTTAAAGAGTCATACACAGATACTGCTTTAGACAATACAATAATAGCCGGCGGTATATAATTCAAGACACACTCATAACAGTTTCAAATTATCCTATGCTAAATCAATTTCAGTATAGAATCTCACCCAAAAAAAAAATCAATACAAAAGATCTTTCATGGGATCATAATTTCTCAATCTTCTTTGTATGCGACGAAAATAAAATGCTTTAGAAAAATTCATCAAGAAATACCTAACAAAGTCTCCTTTAAGAGCAGGAGTTCCTGAGTATTGAACACTTATATCATCACCATGATTAGCCCACACTGACCAAAGAGAATCAGTCAGAAATTTTGGTTTCAAGTGCTATGAAACAATGAAATTTGAATGTATTAAATGAAGATAACTACAAAATATAACATATATATATCTATGTTCGAAATCACGTAATCTGAAAATTAATTATCACTTACGGATCTTAAACCTTTCATCCAGATTTGGATGTGAACTAATGGTTTCTTCAGCACCAAAGACACCAAGCCTTCTAAGCTGATATTCCAACATATTTCGACCTATCATACTCTGCATAAATATTTCAAAATAAGTAAGCAGGAAAACTGTCATAAACGCAGCGGACATACATTTAGCTAAGTGAATCAACCAACCTGTGTTACATTCGTACGGTCTAGACAATCAATACAATTAGTCCTTACAACTCCAAGTTGTTCCTTCATTTTCTCTCCCTTTTCATTCAGTAGAAGATATCTATAATTCCAAAACAGAAATGCAACCCAGGGTCAGATTTTTATTTTTGAATGACTCAGTTAGAATTAAATACAAGAAAGAGCTTCATATATTTGTTAGACAGCTCATGACATTATGCTTGCAAGTGTCCAAGTTATTATAGCAGACGGTTCCAAATTGAGCAGCATAACAAACACAGTAATATAAATTATTGGTAGTTTTCAAAGATAAAGTAGTCCATAAAAGGCTCCCTGAATGAAACCAATCAATGTAAGCATGAATAATATAACTAGTTCTGAAGAAGGTCAATAATATCTAATAGCTTATCCAATAACAAGGTCCATACCCGTTTCTCTCCATAAAATCTGAAATTTGTTCATAAAGGATGGAGAGACGCTCAAAATGAACGTGCCCACACACGTGGTGAAAGTCAAAGTGCAGATATCTGCAAAAAAAAATCAAATTTGCATGGGTAACCCAAGAAAGCCAAAAGAATGTATGTATATTAGCCGAAAGTTAACTAAAAGAGACTTCTACCTTACATCATTGCTAGCCACATGCTGCGCTGTAGCACCAAATTTTTCACACAGTCGCCCTTCTCCTCCATGCTGAAAAATACCAAGGAAAAGGAAGAGGACTCAAATGTATGCACACTGATACATAACAATTTCATGCTCATTATCACACACTCTCAGGAACATTTACAGAATATATCTATAGCATCTTGGTTGATGCAAACAGGTTGCACACATTCTTCATGGTCGTATAATAAATTTACAATGCAATTACATACACCATCAGGTAAAATTGTCAACCATCATATAGGTATTCTCAACTCATCATGCAATGGAAGAATATTTTACCTTGTTAACAAGATCAATAGCCAATACTGCCCCATATTTTTTCCTTAAATCTAAGAAATGCCTCTCTAGGACTCGTGGCTGTGTATTAAGCAAAGAAATATAAGTGAAACATACAAAGAACAATAAATGGAGACCTCAAAATACAACCACTTACAGCTTCCTCAAGTTTCAACAACTCAAACTTTGGTTTATAAGTTAAGTCAACAATTTGCTGCCAGAGGAGTGGGATTGAACCACGGACCTGCAAAAGCTCAACCGAAATGACTGTGATATGAAATAAAATACATGTTTAATTGACACAATGTTGGTGGTACATATACAGTTATCATTTATCTCACAAAACTAAAAGCAAACATCCTAGCTCCTCTTTCTTTGCTTTTATCAAACAGTCATGTACTTCTGGATTATACAATGGCATTTGTCACCCACTCTAATCTAACATAGTTGCAGAGATCTCCTGAAAAACCTGCAAATAGTAGTTTACATCCAACATTCCAACTATCAAATCACTACATTCAAGTAAGTGAAGCTCTTTCTTTCTTTAGGCAACCTTAAATCCGACCAGGTATAAATCTTGTTAGAGGCCATATGTTTGATTACAAAAATACCACTAGTATATATGTGTAAGGAGAATGCATGGAAAGGCTAAGGTAGAGACCGTTATGGATAAACCAATACCAAATGAACACATGGCTGGAGGCACAAAAAGCATGACAAGGAAAATAAGCACACGATCCAAGAGAGAATGTTTAGCCGAGGGATTTCGTAAGGGAACAGCTAGTAGTATAAAAAGCATAAATGCAGGAAAGAGAAAGGAAGGATGGAATTAATTGAGATCTTTTCCCTTTTCTGGCTCAATTCTCTCTATTCTTTCTAGCTAGCATTAGTGTGAGCAAGTTTCAACTTAATTCTTCCGTCAATTGTCTTTGACATTTTCTGTAATTGTTGGATTCTTAAATAAAAGCAATTCAATTAGTTTGATTCCATTATTTTTTTTGTATTCATTACGTGCTTTCATTACATTGGTGTTTTCATTGTCAATCATGGCGGAGAATACTAGATTGAAGGAGTTGCAAATGGAGATATCTCGACTGATGGAATCTATAATAGACGTCAAGCAATTGGCTAATGCAGTTGCTACTACGGATCGTGATTTGAAGAGTTTGATTGCGGTTCTTAAAGAATGCCAAAGAGATAATTCTACACAATTTGAGATGTTGGAGACTTCAATGGACTCGATGTTAAAATCGATTCAAGTCGCGTGTTTATTCTCAGTATACGTCATTCCAAGTTCGTAATGTCAAGTTAGATTTTCCTAAGTTCGATGGATTGGATGTGTTACAATGATTTTCAAAGCAGAGCAATTTTTTTATTATTATAAAACTCTGGATGAACAACGTTTGCTCATTGCTTCTATACATTTGGAAAAAGAGGTGGTTTCGTGGTTCCAAATACAATCCAGAGCTAAAGCATTTCATAGTTGGATTGCATTTACTCGTGCATTGGAGTTAGAATTTGGCCCTTCACCCTATGAATATCCTAGATTTTATTTGTTTAAACTTACATACTTGCCAATTGTGTGCAAGGTGTCACCACTGAGGCTTTACTAGATTACTTCGTGGGAGGATTGCAACATGACATTCATCGTGATGTGTTGGTTCAAGCCCACCACATTGATGAGATGTGTTTCCTTGACCAAACTATTTGAAGAAAAGTATGATATGAAACAGAAACCATATTTGTCCAATTACCATAGCAAAAGTCAAACACTACCTACAAACTCTCAATCTCTCAAGTCCACTACATTACCACCCTTATTGTCTAAAGCAAACCCAAATACATTAGCAAAAAATGTTGTTGCTAAGAAAATGTCTCCTGCAGAAATCCAGTTGAGGAAAGAAAAGGATTTGTGCTTCACATGTAATGACAAATACACCCTTGCACACAAGTGTCCCAATAAACAATATCCATGGTTACACTTAGATGAAAAAGAAAATACTAACGAATCTGTACTAGATTCTATGGTTACCACTATTCATACAAAGCCTCAACCTCAGTGTGAATCACATTTGTCCTTCAATACTCTTAAAGACTTTGTGGGCCTTGGTACCATGACATTTAAAGGGGTTATTAATGGCTTACCAGTACAAATTCTCTTGGACAGAGGGAGCACCAACAACTTCTTATAGCCATAGATTGTTACTTGTCTTAAACTTCCTGTTGAACCAATCTAGAATTTCAATGTAATGGTTGGTAATGGAAGTGCCTTGGTAGTTGAGGGACTCATCAAGAGATTGTAAGTTACCATCCAAAATCATTCAATACAGCTGTCAGCGTACCTCCTTCCTATCTTAGGTGCTGACTTGGTACTTAGAGCTTCTTGGTTGGCTACTCTAGGAGCTCATATTGCGAATTACAGCACTTTATCATTAAAATTTATGTTAAATGATAAGTTTGTCACATTGGTGGGGGAACATACCAAGCTACCTAACCACGATCTGAGAAGAATGTTTCATACCAATTCTATGAACTATATTCCCTCCATTTTCAAGCCCCTAGAAATTCACAAGATCAATTTCTAGATTTACACGTTGAAAGTGAACTTGAAATAGCCTTGTTGTTGCATACATACCAGCAGGTTTTTGACATACCTTGTGGTTTACATCCTCCTAGATCACATAATCATGTCATTTCTCTAGTGCATGACTCTGAACTATCAAGGTTAAGCCTTATAAATATCCTTTCAGCCAAAAGCAACAAATTGAAAAAATGGTGTAGGACATGTTGCAGGAAGGAATCATTGTGCCTAGCAATAGCCATTTCTCTTCTCTAATTATTTTGGTGAAAAAGAAAGATGGAACATGGAAATTTTATACAAATTTCATGGTACCACCAATTTCTTGTCAAGGAGGAGGACAGACATAAAACTGCCTTTAGGTCATGCCCTTTGGGCTAACTAATGCACCAGCAACCTTCTAAGGATTATTGAATGAAGTTTTCCAGAAGTTATTGAGGAAATGTGTCCTTGTTTCATTTGATGGCATTTTGGTGTATAGTCCCTCATGGTTCACTCATCTTCAACAATTGGAAAAGGTGTTGCAATTGTTACAAGAAAACAAATTATATGCTAAACTTTTTAAATGTTCATTTGGGAAATAATAGATAGAATATTTGGGGCACAAGAATTGCTATGGAGGATAGCAAGGTCCAAACTATTTTGGCTTGGCCTTTACCTACAAATCTTAAACAATTAAGGGGCTTCCTTAGAATTACATGTTACTATAGAAGATTCATTAAAGGTTATGAAACATTGGTTGGTCCACTCACTGAGTTGCTTAAAAAAAGACAACTTTCATTGGTCTAATGCAGCTACTCTAGCATTTACAACCCTAAAAACAACCTTAAGGAAGGCCCTTGTGTTGGCCTTACCAAATTTCTCATTACCTTTTCAATTGTTCAATTGGAAACTGATGCTTCTTGTATAGGTATATATGTTGTCTTAAGTCAGAATATGCACCCCATTGCATACTTTTCAAAAAAAAAAATCGTCCCCTTCGATGCAAAAACAATCTACTTATGTGTGGGAACTTTATGCGTGACTCAAGCAGCAAAGTTCAGACATTATTTACTTGGTCATTAATTTGTGATCAAAACTGATCAGAAAAACTTGAGAAACATCATGGACCAGAGTTTACATACTCGTGTGCAACAGAAATGGCTTCATAAGCTACTTGGGTATGAGTTTACAATTGAATACAAGCCCGGGAAAGAAAATATAGCAGTTGATTCACTCTCCAGGTCTTCTCACATGGCTTGGTCACAACCAGTGCCCTAACTTTTGACCACTCATCAACAAGCACAACAACAAGACACTGAGACTAAGACCTTGGTGAATGTTTGTATCAACAATACTTTCTTTGAAACTCACTACTCCTTGCATCAAGGTTTGTTACTATGGAAATGTAGGATTGTGGTCCATGCTGGACATGAACTCATTCAAGCTATTTTACAGGAATTCCATAGTTTTGTGATTGGTGAACATGTTGGTTTCTCCAGAACATTGGCTAGAATTGCTACTCAATTCTATTGGAAGGGAATGCATCAAGATATTAAATTATATGTGCCATAGTGCCTAATTTGTCAGCAAGCTAAGGGTGTTACCAATCTCCCCTATGGTTTACTTCAACCCCTTCCCGTTCCTGATCAAATTTGGGAAGACTTGGCCATAGATTTTTTCACTGGCCTCCATGTCTCTCATGATTTCACAATGATCTATGTAGTAGTTGATAGATTGTCCAAAGCCGCCCAATTCACTCTAATGAAGCAGGATTTCACTAGTAAATCAGTTGTTGAAATTTTCTTTAAAAACATAGTGAAATTACATAGATTGCCTAAATCTATAGTCTGAGACAGAGACAAGGTCTTTACCAACCAATTTTGGAAATTCCTGTGGCAACTCAGTGGCACAACACTCAAGATGTCTTCTACATACCATCCATAGACAGATGGACAGTGAGAAATCCTTAATAAATGCTTGGAGTTGTACCTCAGATGCTTTACTTTTGATGCTCCCAAGGATTGGTTTAAGATGCTTACATGGGCTGAATATTGGTACAATACATCATACCATACCAATACGGGTATGACTCCCTTCAAAGTTATGTATGGGAGAGATCCACCTAAGATACTCAAGTATGTTCCACAAGAGACTGATCCAGTAACAGTGAAGAAAAAATTGTTTGCCAGAAATGATATCCTTCAGAAACTCACGTTCAATATGTAGAGAGCTCAGCAGATTCAGAAGCAATATGCTAATAAGAGGTTAGATGTTGATTTTCAGATTGGTGACTTGGTCCTGGTTAAGTTTCAGCCTTATCGACAACATTCATTGGCCCTGAGGAAGAATCAAAAGCTTGGATTAAGGTATTTGGCCCTTTTGCAGTTGTAGAAAGGATTACAAAGGTTTCCTACAAGCTTTATATACCGGTTTCAGCAAATATTTATCCAGTATTTCATGTTTCTCAGCTTAAGTTGTGTAGGGGTAGTCATGATCATCCCTATGTCCCCTTACTAATATGTGACAGTGAGATTCCTCCACTCATTCAACCAGTGGCATCTTTGAAAACAAGAGTTATTCTCCGAGGTGACTAACAAGTTCAACAAACCTTAATTCAATCGGAAAATGGATCAGAAGAGGAAGCAATTTGGGAAGACACTGGCATAATTGCACGAGCTTATCCTCATTTCAACCTTGAGGACAAGGTCGATTTCGTTAGGGGAGGTAATATAAGGAGAATGCATGGAAAGGCTGAGGTACATATTGTTATGGATAGACCAATACCAGATGAACACGTGATTGAAGGCACACAAAGCATGACAAGGAAAATAAGCGCACAATCCCAAGAGAGAGAGTGTTTGGTTAAGGGATTTCGTAAGGAAATTGCTAGTAGTATAAATAGCATAAATTCAAGAGAGAGAAATGGAGGATGGAATTAATTGAGATCTTCTTCCTTTTCTGGCTCAATTCTCTCTGTTCTTTCTGGCTAGCGTTAGTGTGAGCGGGTTTCAACTTAATTCTTATGTCAATTGTCTCTGACATTTTCTGTAATTGCAGGATTCTTGAATAAAAACAATTCAATCCGTTTGATTCCATTATTTTTTTTGTATTCATTATGTGCTTTCATTACAATATGTTGTAGGGCCAATATTACTACATTCAAGCATAGTTATGTTGTAATGCTATTTTCTATTCATTTCAAAGTTACCATATAATGTAATACTTAGGTCAGTCGTATATAGTAATCTTTTCAATTCAATATCAACCCAACTTGAAACTAGAAAAGTAAATTTGCAATGAGCTTCTAACAAAAAAAAAAGTAAATGAACATGTAATTCTAAGTAAAAATATGGATTTTTCCCTTCATAAAAAATATTTATTGGGACTTTGCTTTGGTAGTTTTCCCAACTGGAAAGGCTTCATACAATGACCATGTTTGGTAGATTGTGTCACAGTGGAGTAGCAAATACAATAAAAAGGACAACCGTAAGAGTTAGCTTGTAGCTTATAAGAGTTTTTCAATTGTAAAACCCAATTGTTAAACTTTTCTAAGATAAGAATATTGAGAGTTCTATTAAGTTTTTAGGTGCTTATGGAGAAGATACATGGTAAAACTTCTAAAAAATGTCTAGTTAATTTTATCTTATGTGAGAAGTTTGATTTATTTCACCTCCTTGACACATTTCATTTTCTTTTCTTGTGTGTCTATTGAGAAATTTATCTAAAATGACTCTTAGACTAGGTGCAACATATTGGAGATCCCACAATGACTAGAAATGTAGCCAAATTATAAAATATAAGTGGATGTAAACCCCACCTTATAAGTTGATTTTGTGAGGTTGAGTTATGCTCAAATCCATTTTATAATATAGTATCAAAACTCATTCTAGTAAGAGTTGTTGGAAATATTATACCACCTACTATCGGCACTATGTGACCACCCACAAAGATCAAGTCTCATGCTATCGAGATGTTTAATTCTCGATGCAAGGGAATGTATTAGAGATTCAATATCAACTAGAGAAATGGTTAAATTATAATATATAAGTGGATGTAAACCTCACCTTATAAATTGGTTTTATGGGGTTGAATTAAGACCAAATTCACTTTCTAATAGAACCAAAACTATGAAAACGCATGCAATTTTGTCATTATTTGGAAACTTGTTGCAATTACACTTGGGAAAAAAGCAGAGGTGCGTTTTTTGTGAGCTGCTTTGGGGTCACTAGCTTTACAAAACTTAAGGTTACTCTTAAGCACTTACTAGCCAAGAAGTTGGCTTCTTGAAAGTTCAACACCATTAATTTGAAGGGAACACTAATTTGGATAGACCATAAAGAATTTTAAAATATACGTAAATTTTTTTGACCAACTTGGAAGAAAACCAATCTAAATAAATATCAATAGTTTATTAATTATGTTGATGTTAACTTGTCTATAACTGGAAAAGGTCATTTCAACTTATTTCGAAACATTGGAAATACTTTAAGAATAGGATCACTAATCTGAATTAAGACATCAGCACATTCATAACTTTCATGCCAAACCCACCATATAACTGGTTCATTTCATACTCAGAAAGCAATACCTGAACAAATGAAGCAGTATACCCATTAAACTGCATAATCTGTTCTGTTTCCACAAAATTGGCAACATAACCATCGGGATCAGCTCCTCTTCTCCACATCCGAGTTCCTTTCAAGAAACAAAATTATATTTGTTCCATCAGTCAACCACCAATAAAGGATGATCATTGCCATCTTAAAGGGTTGAAACGGTAAGGTACAAAGTATTTGGTAGTTGTTTCTCATACAAAAATTTTCAAGATGCCTCAATTTGGTACAGATAATTTTAAATCATACTACTAAATTAACATTACACAATTTTCATATGGATCTATATCCAGAATGAAATGCTTTTTATTTGTTTAAATAATTGAGATTAATAATCTTTTTAGTGGTTCGTCCAAAGCAAAAGGTCTATTGTTTCAGCTGTATAAAATTTAACTAATTGATAAACTATTTGCTCTCCATTACTTATAACTGGTACAACCCACTAAAAACATTGCTTTCATGGCCCCAGTTAATCTAATTTGCGTATGCAGGGTATCTTTTCATTCAATCAATCTCTATAGTCAAATACCAAAATAGTTGTCAGTAACTAAAACATACTCTCAACCTCTACCATCCATTTTTAGTGCAACCAAAAGGAGAACCATAAACAAGTGCAACTGCAAACAATTCTCATAATTGCTTTCAGTATCACCACCAAATTAACCGTTAAACTAATTTCGTGGCATCAGATCTTGATTTTATAATTGGTCAGGAGCATGCATACATACATATGACATTTTAAGTACAAATTCAATCTAGAAATCAGAGAATTTTGTTTTGTTTTGGTGCATGGATATAAATAGATATTTATATAATAAAAGCTTCAAATACCATTTCTTCTTGTGCATCTCCTAGCAATCAAAGTGACATCAATAATATCTTTCCCAATGGCTGCTTGATAGTGATGAAAGCCTATTTACTTGTTAAGGATAACCCTGAAAATAAACAGTTACACGATCCCCAAATAGCAATGCAAATAGCTAATCAAATAAGGATACTGCCCTGGACTACAGGGAGCAAGAACGGTTCAAGCTGGAAAGCACAGGATTGCAAACTTGTTGGTTAGTAAAATAAAAAATGCACAAGTACTGAAAAACTTGAACAGGTAAAAGTAAAATTGCCACAAACCTACCTTGTTATCTATGAGCACTTCTAAGATATAATTGTTCCATAGGAATCGAGGCTCTGCCTGTGATCAATAACTTTGTATCATGAGCAGAAAAATAGGCAAAACAAAGAACTGCAGAAAAAAACAATTCAAAGAGGACATTTGCAAAGACATCAGGAGTATCAATCACACTATCACTCAGGAATAATATTAAGAATAAAGTATGCTGGGGTGAGGGAGGATTCTAGCATGACATCAGCACCATTTGAAAAAAAAAATCCTAATACTATCAGGCTGGTGGTAAAGAAAAAAAAAAAAACAATACCTGTCTCCATAGTGGAAGCAATCTAGACTCATCACCCAAGTCGTTCAATCGCTGGGCACTGCAGAACGTAATATACAAGGATAATAATTTTTTTCGTAAGATTAATATTAGTAAAGCAACACAAAGCATTATTTAAATAACATTAAAATGACTTAAATCTTACAAACAAAATTAGCAATACCAATTTCTTTTACGGTAATTTACTAGAAAATTTGTTAGAACTAGATAATTTGCGATTTCAAAAGACTCATAAGGGCAGTCAGGGAGTTGTATTGGATAATCATTTTTGGCTGAAACGACATTGTACTCTCTTTTCATACTAGAATGTGCACTCAATTTTTGTTTAAGATTAAAAGTACTTACACCTTCATAACTTAGAAGTAAAAGTAAGTATTATGACTAAACCTTTAATCAAGATTGCAATGACTAACAACTCTAACAAATGTAAATTGGAATAAGTACCTACCCCTAAAATACATGATCTAGAGGTTTATAATCAATATGGCTATACATAATTTCATTAAAACTTTTCACATCCACACTTCCAGTGTAACGGTATCTTTCAAATTGCAGTATGAATTCCTCTTGAACATCAACGAACTAAATGCCACAACAAAAACTTGTACATACTTCATATGAAAGATGGGCATAAACTTCATTTCCTATAGGTTTATACGTGGCATTGTTGCACCTACTAATCAAAAGAAGAATGTGGGTAGTTTCCTCTCTGTGATATTTATATGTACATGTGTAAGACACCACATGTTAGAATCAAAATAAAACCATATCATATTGCAGTCATAAATATGAATGTAAGACTGCTAAAAAATATTCAAAGATACCTCAGAGTTAAATTAGTTTCATATGAGAAAAACAGACCAGAGCTTTTCTCAGCAACACGAAGCAGTGAAGAAAATTCCATCTCTATTTTCTTCTGCCAAATATGGTACAGCATTTATGAGTTTCAAACTGGTAGTGCACATAGAATGAATTACGAAATAAGTGAATCTGGGCAAACAGACCTGTTCAGCAGGGGTGCTTCTAAGAGAATTATCACATGGAAAAACCTTCAATGAAGAAATTTTGAAAATTGGATGCCCCAAGTAAGATCCAACAGATTCACGCTCAGTTATAACCAGCAAATATGATCCTAATTGAACAGTAAAATTTAGCTACAAAATGATAGCTGAAATTGAAGTCTAGCATTTAATGTTATATGAGAAAGTTCTGAACGGAAGTCAGGTATGTAAACTAGATCTATATAAACAGATACCATATCAATATCAATATCGCAAGTACAAGTACAGAAATAAGGGCAAGGAGCAGGAACTTGCTTGTTGCATAAGCCACAATGATAAATTAACTAAAAGGAATTCATACCATGGAAGACTGTAAAACTACCATGATTCTTAAACCCATAGCATTTTATTTAAACAATAAATATGAAAAAAAAAGCATAATTTACTTTTTTTGTTGGTATTGTATTCAAGTATTGCTTTCACTTATGTTCCAAAACCAATTATCATAAATTATTTGTCAAATACCCCAATTCCCAGCCATAATCTAATTACTTTATTTACTTCGCTTTGTTGCACAGTCAAATAGATAAGGATGAATACCAGCAAGAAATCCTTCCAACACACAGGAATTAAAAACTTAAGGCAATATACAATTGTCGCTTATTTCTACAATATCAATCTAAGTGATTGCTAACCAGCCAATAGCCTCAACATCCCTACAACGCCAAAAATTGTATATATCTTAGGAACTCGAAGCGAGCTGCATTCTGGAACCTCATCTGTCAAAGCAATATAACAAAAGAACAAATAAAAAATAAATGAATAAATAAACATCGATCAGGAACGAATTACTAAAAATCACAAAAGGAAGACCAATATGCTAACAAAAGCTTGAAAGTATCAGAATGAACTAACCAATGAGCTTCATGGAGCCATCGACTCGACTAACAGTCAAAGAAGAACCGGAAGATCCATCCGTAGGCTCAATCACAAACTGATCCGGAAATTCCCAAAGCCGCATGCGCGTATACAGCTTCTGCACAGAATCTGCCTTCTCCATCATTATTGAAACTCGAACTCGCTGAAAACAACACATTCGAATAAGCAATTAACTTCTACATTCACGAGGAATCATCAATTATCAGCGACTTCAATTTATAGTTTGAGCTTCCTACGGTTTCACGGATCAATCGGAGCGAGAAAAAACAATGCTTGAACCACTCAGAACAGAGAACCGGTAGAGTTCGATCTAATCTAAATCGAAATACTAGTTTCCCGCTAAAAGAGTAGCGTGATTTGGTATGTGGAATTTTCTGGCGCTTTCTCGGCGAAGAAAACGAAGAAGGGAATGAAGAATAAGTGTACCTGGTTGGCAAGATCGAAGAACGAAGTGAAGATTAAGATCCAAATTCGAATTCCCGTTGAGGTCTTAGTACGTGAAGGGAGGGACTGCAACGAAATTGGAATAGTGCTCCAACGTGCTATATTCCCTTTTTTCTTTTTAAAGCTAAGGGCGTGTTTGGAAGCTTCGGAACGGGGCAGGATTACGATGTGTTAAATCCTTGTTCGGATTGGTGGTGTCCAAATGCGACTTTAGGACAAAAACTCGGACCGGCTCCGCTTAAGTTTGTACTCCTTACACGTGGAGGTTGATTAGAGGTCTGTGAGACCGTACCCTAACACTGCGGAGAACCCTATGACGTGGTCAATACAGAGGACGTACGGTTATGCCATGAGATCATCATCGTCATTGGTTCTGATGAATAATACTTCGCAATAATTTGATGCTACCTTTAATTTTTATTTTTGCATTAATAAAATTGTATTTTCAATAATTATTAAATTATTGGTTATTTTAAAGTCCTATAGGCCGTTGTTATATTATAAAAAAAAAAAAAAGTTATTCTTTCACTAATATCTTATTATTGCATCAGAACAAAAGACACCGTATATAAGGAGGGGTTGTTATATTGCTTAGCGAAAATATAAATATATGAAGTTTATTTATAGCTAATGATATAGTAAAGGAAATAAGTTGTTCATCACATATTTAAATTATTTATTTAATTAAATAAATAATCCCAAACTTAACTTAGATTTAATTATTGAACTAAATCAAACTTAACCTTAAAAAGCTTAATATTAAAAAAGTTTGCCCAACTTAATGTATATAATAAAGAAATGCCATGTTATTTTAAAAATACTCCTTTTGTCTTTATTAACTTTTTGAATAATCTAACAATTAAAAATGAGTTATTTATAACACTCTTTAGATTGAAAAAAAAAGTAAGAATAAAGAGAAAATATTTTAAAGTTAAGTTACTTTAATAGTAAATTACAGAGAGATTATTTTATTTCCACCTTTATTTTTTAATTTAATACTTTTAAACAAGTTTAACTTAAACCCAAATATTGCTTCTCATTTGCATATATTTAAATTAATATTTTTTTCTTTCCCTTTTTTTTTAGATTAGTTTAAAATTATATATAATAGTAATAAATTAAAACTTTAAAAAATAAAAAATTTGATTAAATTCTAATAATATAAGTAAAAATAAACTTTTTTTAAGAAAAAAAAGGAATATAGTTTTTTTTTATTTCATTAGATTAATATTTACTCATTTTTTTAGTTATTTATTTTTCATCTTAACATATTTAAGGGTGACTAAATGGTAAGCGTGTCAAAAAAATTTCTAAGACATTTTAACCCATAGTCAACTACGGATGGTAAAACAGGTCGGTCTATCCCGTTTTGCTCCGCTCCATCAAAAGCAGAGCAGGACAGGTTGACCCGTTATAGTCATGACGGGTTGTAAACCTTGGTTTGCCTCGTCAAAGGGTGGGTTGATCGGTCGAAAGGTCGGTCCGCCATAATTTAGAAAAAAATAATTTATTTTTTAAAATAATTTTTTTAATAAATTTAATAATAAAATTATTATTTGTTTGTTAATAATTCAATATATATATATATATATTATTTTAATTTAATAATATAAATTAATATATTATTTTAAGAAATTATAATTTAGAACAATAATAAAATTTACATAATAATAAATAATAACAAATATATATATATATATAAATAACGTTAAAACTTATAAAATTTATTTTTTTTATATTGAAAAATTCAAATACCTATATCTTTTTTATTTGATAAAACTTCATATTAGTCTTAGTTGAGTAATTCTTAAACCTTTAATTCAAGTTATAAGGATAAAAATAATCGAGTGATTACGATAAACAAGGAGAACATGGTAGAGAATGTTATGTTTCAGTAAGAAGAATATTTTCTGCGAGAGTGAAACTTTTTTAATTTTCTTTTTAAAAAATTTATCTTTATATATTATCTTTATAATCAATTTTATTACAATAAAAAATTATTTTTTTATTAATTTGGCAGGTCGCGGTCGACTCGACTCCGTCCCGCAGGTTGATCCGACGGCTTGACAGGGCGGGTCAAAGTGGGCTAGAGGACTGAAAACATCAACTCACCCAGCCTAACCGGTTTTGTCATCCCTATAACCAACTTAGACCCCTCCCGAAAAAGAAAAATCATTCGTAAATAATAAAATTAGTAAGTTAACCATAAATTCTTGCATCTTTCCGATTTAGTCACTTTCAATTTTTGTCAAATACTAAACACTGGAACTTTTAGCGACTATAATACTGAACTTTCAATTATTTTCTTATAGTATTTCTCTAAATCACTAGTGGAAAAATAGCTTTCTATGACGGGTTTTTATCACGGTCGTAATCCACCCGTCATAGTATGTGGCGCGGTGGCAATTTTGTAATAAAATCATAAACTTTCTATGTCGGGTAAGTTTTAACCGACATAGTAAGTGGAAATGTCACTTTCTACGTCGGTTAAAATTTACCCGACATAGAAAGTTAACTTTCTATGTCGGGTAACATTTACCCGACGTAGAAAATGAACTTTCTATGTCGGGTAAATTTTAACCGATGTAGAAAGTGTCTTTGATGACGGGTGTTAGGGCAACCGACATAGTATCTTCTGTTTTGCCCGCGCTTCATTTCTTTTCATCACTTCCCCCCCACTCCATTTCATTTCATCACTTCCCCCCCATAGCAGAGCTCCCCTGTACGTTTCTCCCTACGCTCCATTTCCTTTCATCAGTTCACCCATACCAGAGCTCCCCCGTTCGCTTGTATACGTTTCTCCGCACCCACATTTGCTCGTCACGCCACCTGCCAACGCTTCGTGCCGCCTGCTGCTACTGGTGCCCGTCGCCTTGGATACGTTTCTCCCCACCCAGCTCTGCACGTCACGCCACCTGCCACCTCTGTAGGTCTTCAAGAGGTAAGTTTTCGTGCTTGCTTTAGCCAATGTAGGTTTACGGTATTGAATCTAGTAAGTAATAATGTCGTCAAGAGAGGGAAACATCACGGGTGGCTTTAGCTAATTTAGAGATGTATTGTAAGTAGTTTAGTCATTTGAATGTGTTTCTGTCGGCATTCTTTCGTGATTTTGATTTTGAACATTTGATTTGTATTATAATGTAGTTATTTTGAGAGTGGAGTTGGATTTCGTGTAGGCATTATAATGTAGTTATTTCGTGTTTCTGTAGCTAATTTGATTTTGAAAATTAGATTTGTAACAATGGATCGGAGTTGGATCAATTACAGACGAACAACAAATGAATATGAGAGTGGAGTAGAACAATTCCTTGAATTTGCTAAGATGAATGTTCCGGATAATGATGGAAGATTCTATTGCCCTTGTGTTAACTGCTTGAATGAGCGAAGATTACCGACTGAAGTTATTGGGAACATGTTCTTTGTGATGGTTTCCTAAAGAGTTACATAAAGTGGACATGGCATGGTGAATTATTAAACATGCCAAGTGTAGAAGACAAAGAAGAAGTTGATCTAGAGATGGATGATCAGTTGGAGGAAATGATTCGTGAGCTTGGACAATATGCCTTCCAACACACACATGTGTACGAGAAGTTGTCCAATGATGCAAAAGAGCCTTTGTATACAAATTGTACTAAGTTCACACGATTGTCAGCGGTACTAAAATTGTTCAATGTGAAGGCAAAGAATGGGTGGACTGATAAAAGTTTCACAGAATTGCTTGAGTTGTTGAGTGACATGCTCCCTGAAGGTAACACATTGACAACCCGCAATTATGATGCTAAGAAGATATTGTGTCCAATGGGTATGGAGTACCAAAAAATTCATGCATGTCCGAATGATTGTGTGTTGTACAGGAAAGAATTTGAGAACTGTCACGAATGTCCACAATGCGGGGAATCACGATACAAGAAGAAGGATGGTGATTCGACAATGATGTTATGAAGGGTACCCCGACAAAAGTGTTATGGTATCTTCCCATTGTTCCAAGGTTGAAACGATTGTTCACTAATGGAAATGATGCAAAGCTCACTAGATGGCATGCGAGATAGTCGTATTAAAGATGGTCGGTTGAGGCATCCAGACGGATGGATTGCAATGGAAAAAAATTGATTCCATCTTCCAGAATTTTGGTAATGATCCAAGAAACATTAGGTTTGGACTTGCTACGAGATGGAATGAATCCATATGGAAATTTAAGCGAGTAAACATAGTTCATGGCCTGTGGTGTTAGTTATTTACAACTTACCTCCGTGGTTGTGTATGAAACATAAGTACTTGATGCTATCTTTGATGATCTCGGGTCCCGAGACAACCTGGAAATGACATTGATGTTTTTTAAGCCCATTGGTTGAAGAGTTGAAGATGTTGTGGGAGGAAGGTGTTGATGTGTTTGATGGGTACACAGGTGACTTATTCAAGTTGCGTGCAATGTTATTTTGTACAATTAATGACTTTCCGAGCATATGGTAATTTGAGTGGCTACGAGCACAAAGGGACATAAAGCTTGCCCGATATGTGAAGAAGACACATGTCACTATCAACTACAACATGGAAGGAAAACGAGTGTACCTTGGACACCGAAGATTTCTTCCTTCAAACCATTCATATCGTAAATTAAAAAAATCATTTAACGGGTGTCAAGAAAATGATGTAGCCCCAACACCTTTAAGTGGGGAAGAAGTATATCAACGAGTAAGTGCAATTTCGTGTGAGTTTGGAAAGATGCAAAAGAAAGCCACAGGTATATGGAAGAAAATGTCAATCCTTTTTGTTCTTCCATATTGGAGGGTTCTTGATGTGAGGCATTGTATAGATGTCATGCATGTAGAGAAAAATGTGTGTGACGAGTATCATCGGAACGCTCCTTAACATTCAAGGAAAAACAAAAGATGGTGTCAATGCTCGTTTGGACATGGTTGAAATGGGTATAAGAGAACAATTAGCTCCTCAACCTCATGGTAACCGAACATACTTGCCTCCAAGCATGTCACACACTCGTCTAAAAAAGAGAAAAAAGTTTTTGTGAGTTTTTACGAGGTGTGAAGGTTCCATTTGGTTACTCTTCCAATGTGAAGAGACTTGTATCTATGAAAGATCTCAAATTGCTTGGGTTAAAATCTCATGATTGTCATGTATTGATGCAACAACTTCTACCTGTGGCTATTCGAGGTATCTTACCGAGACAATGTTAGATATTCCTTAACTTGATTATGCTTTTTTTAATGCCATATGTAGTAAAGTTATGGACCCGGATGTTTTGGATCAGTTAGAGAATGAGGCTGCAGTAATATTATGTCAATTTGAGATGTACTTTCCTCCATCATTTTTTGATATTATGGTTCACTTGATTGTTCATCTAGCCAGGGAA